GACTAAACCTCTGAAACTGTAAGCCAGCCCCAATTAAATGCTTTCCTTTATAAGAGTTGCCATGGCCATGGTGTCTCTTCACAGCAACAGAAACCCTAAATAAGACAAGACATTACAAATCCTTGGGCAGAGAGTCCCTCTCTTTCCTCCATTTCCCCCTTTCCATGCTCTCCCTGTGCTCAAAGGCTTCTTCCAGGCTAGACTTTATGCTGAGGGTCAGGAGAAGATCTGACCTCGCCTTAATCTCACAGGCTAGAAAAGGACCCATACCGGCAGGTGGTGGACACCTAGAATAACGAATGGAAGGCCTGTGAGCATGGGAATCTGGAGCTCGGAGCTCACGGAAGGCCTCCTCTCTGGCTGAGGTAGGTTCCTTCCACAGTTCCTCCTCCACGTCTAAGGAGGCAGTAATTGGGAAAAGTGCCCCTGGGGGGCTGGGAGTATCTGGTTGGTAACCCCAGCCGCATCTTCCACCACAGACCACAGTGGAGGCTTTAACATCGCAGGGACCTGGCCCTCTCTGGCTGAGCAAGCAGGGCCCAGTGACCCGCAGAGCATACACCCTCTGTTACCTCTCTAGACCCTCCTCCAAACCTAGACCCTTGCCTGGGCCGCCACACTTACCGTAGCTCCTGCTGCCGCTGGCGGGCCTTGGGTGCGGCACTGTGCCCACCCTCCAGGAGGCGCTCTGCCAGCTGTTGGCAGGTCTCTACTCGCAGGGCACCGGTTTCAATTTGGTTCTGAAACTCGGTAAACTTAGTGCAGAGTTGCTGAGGAGAGAGGGGAGCAGATGACAGGGTGGCCCCAGTCCAGGCACTCGGTGACAGTGTGGGGTTGTGTGGCCGCAGTCCCGGCACGCTCCACCCCGAAGGCATACTCCATGATTCCACTTGTGCCTTCTCCACCCAGCCCAGCAGGACGAGCCCCTGCCATCCAGCCCCTGCCTCGTGTGTCTTCCCTGCTCCTAGCCCCTCACCAGCACACGCTCATGGTCTTCCCCAAAGTGGTCCCCTCCTCTGACCACCTGCTTCCAGCTAGCCAGCCAGCTCTGCAGGTCCTCGGCTTCTCTCGTGAATTCATGTAGCCTCAGGGTCCCGTCCAGCTCCCGGCCCCTATGGTGACAGCCAGGGGTTCCCCAGATGTGAGCTGTCTGTCTGCTCGTCTCCCTGGGGACCCGAGGGAGAGGGTGCTGAAGAATGGGGTTGTTCGTGATCTTTGCCCAAGCCTTTGACTTGGGAAGAGGACGTAGGAAGGCCAGGGTAGGGGACAGAGGGGGTTGGCAAGAGATGGAGAGCTGGGAATTGAGGGCCCGAGTTCCTGCCATGGGAGCCTTTACTGAGGAGCTTATAAAGAGGCGAGCAACACAAAATCGCAGCCTTTTCCTGGGGCATCCTAAAGGCCTGGGTCCCTGCCATCACAGGGCCATGGCAGAGGACAGTCAGCTGTGGTTAGGGCCCCTGTGCCCACTGATGAGAGGGTCCATAGTCTCCCTCACCGTGCATCCGCCAGTGTCTGTAATGCCTGCAATCGCTCCCGTACCATACCCAGCTGCTCAGAGGCCTCAAATCCAGTGAGGGTCTGGAATCTCTGCTCAAGATCCTCCACAGAGCTCCGATAAAGAGTTAATTCCTGCTGCAGCATCTGCCAATGTAAGAATCCGGACTGGGTGGTTCTTCATCTCTCTATACATCTACCCCTATACAACCTATACATTCATCCCCCCCCAGGCATTCATTCAACAACTCACACACTCGTCTGTTTACCTCTCAACTCACTGACTTACCAATATACTCATCCATCTACATACCAATCCATGCTCCACCCACTCAGCTTCACCCACCACACATAACCCACTTACCCAATACTGACGGCACACTTACTGTTTTACAAAATGAAGATATGGTCTCCACCCTCAGAGGACTCACTACTTAGCCAGAAAGAGTAATGGTGGGGAGATTGGGCCAAGGAAAAGGGGGTCCAGGAGGCATCATACTGGACCCCAATATCAAAATGTAAAAATACACAGAACTGAGCAAGCCTCTCTGCATGCTTGGCACAGGGAGGCTACATGAGGCCAAGCCTGCAGGTATACCCTCAGGAATAGCTCGCTGAAAATCCTCAGCCACGAGACACCACGAAAGAGTGACCACTGGAACATGCAGGAGAGTATCCAGACAGGAGGACATTTCCATGACAAGAAGCAGGGATACAGAGGGGCCGAGGCTTTGAAGCTTGATGGTTCTAGTAATCCACTCTGGCCTCTCTCCTTCCTACCAGGGATGCTTGTGGGAGGAGATGGATTTAAGGGTGGCGAGTGGGTTAACAGAAGGATGATGTTCAGAGCCCTATAGCAGGACACATATGAAGGACAGGGGGCAGGCTGAAGTGGGTGACTCTGAGGAGCAGGAAGGTCCTGGGAAGGAGATGAGGAGACAGAGGCACCCCAAGTCTGCATGAGAGGCAAGCCCAGGAAGGCCAACACACTCCTGAGTCACAAGGCTGGGGCTGTCCTGGCAGAGCGTGTGCTCAGGGGAGGAGGGTGATAAGGACTCGGGTGGGCGGCGGACGGGGTTAGCCATGTGTTCAGGAAGGACACAGCAGGGCTCTGTGTCTCAGGAAGCAGGATGCGCCCTTTGAAGTGTGGCAGGCTTCCTTGTGGTCTGCTCACTCACATGGGGTGATCAGGACACAGTACCTGGTGTTTCCTAATGAGCCCAAAGGTAGCTGTCTCGTCACCGCCATATTCTTGACTGTTCGCCAGAGGCCACTTTTCCTCCACCCAGGTCTCTATTTCTGACACAGTCAGAAAGTACTGCAAAGAATGATGTTGACTCACCATAGCGATCTTAGCTGGGACCCTTCATCACCCGTCCTGGTCGCCAGCAGCTGGCAGAGAGGCTTCTGGACCCTTATTGGAACCAGCTAACTTGGCATAGAGCTCCCACCATGAAGGTCCCACAATTTCTCCCTCCCACAGCTGGTCCAGCTTCCACTGCTCTGCAGACCCCACCCTCTTTGTCTCCTACCTGCTGGATAGTGACGGCCTGCTGCAGGCAATGGGCACGTGCATCACATGCCTGCTCCAGCTCTGCCCAGTGGCCTTCTAACTTCCGGCACTGCTCCACAATGCGCTGAGCGTGGGGGTGCCCAGAGGCTGCTAGGCTCTGGCCAGAACTTAGTACTCCATGCAGGTGTTCCACGTGAGCTTTCACCTCAGCCTGGAGCACCTGCCACAGAACAGCGGGATTCCCTCAGTCACACACGCCCAGATTAGAACTGCCGATGTGTCTCTAGGTTCACCAGGCTAAGGACAACTGGAGCAAAGTGGATCTGGAAATCAGGAGACCCAGGGAGCAGGATTTCGGAGGCCAGGATACCCTGAGTAGTGGCAGGGGGTTCTAAGTTCTGGGGATGAGATACTGGGGCCCTGGAACAGGTGACACTACCTTGTGCTTACGTTGAAGGCGCTGGACATCGCGGTAGCAATGGGCAGGGTAGGTGGGGCCGGTGCTGGGCATGTGCTCAGCCACCCATGCGAGTTCCAGGTTGCTAAGGCGGTTGAATTGGTGCAGCTCAACTGAGGCCTGCAGTTGCATGCGCCGGGTGGCCAGCATGCTCTGCAGGGCCTTGAACCTGGTAGAGGGAGAAAAGATGAAGAGGCTGGGGGAAAGGATAAAGACAAGGTCATGGTCCTTTCCTCATCTCCACCAGGGACCCATGAAGAACAATGTCAGGGAACAGAGGGAAACCTGTGAGGCCGCCCCACCCCAGAATGACTCTACTCAGAAGGGTTTGGATGCGCTCAGGTCCTTTAGGTACCACTCAGGTTCCCAAGGCGTGTGTGGAGGGGGAAGCATGGCCCTCGAGATGAAGATGGAATGGCCACCTCTGGTGACACTTCTGGCTCTCCTCCAAGATGGCCAGGGAAGTGGACGCATTGTGGGTCTCAGGGATGAGGGCAGCCATCTTGCTGGCCAGAGCCTGGCTCTTGTCCTCTAGTTGACAGTGCTGTTTCTGCAGCCTCAGGCTGGAGTACAGGTCCTGTCCCGATTCTGCTCTCTGCAGGGCTCCCTCCAGCTGCTCCAACGTCTCCCTGACATCCTGGGGAGGGTGGCAAGAGGCTGCATTCACCTTTCCACTGCAGCTCAGCAGGCAACCCTGCCGGGGCTCGAAGTCTACAGAGCTCCTAGGTCCAGATTCACCAGGGACCCATCATGTCTTCCCAGCTCATAGTGTGCAAACCATCTCCTTGTGCACCTTCCTCTCTGGAGGAAGTTGTGATAATCACATGCTAGACACACGGAAGTTACTCTGGTGGTGGCCTGCTGCTGGGCAAAGCCATGCTTTACTCTGGGCCAGAGCTTGGTACAGGACTTCATAGGGGGGGTGGGACCACTCTTCCAGCTCTTTCTGTTCTGCCTGTTTCCAGGCAAGCCTGGTCTTCCCTCTGTGTCCTCGCCCCCCACCCCCATTCCCCAGGGACCTGCAGTAGCTCCAGGAGTTGGCCCTGCCGTCTGGTCTGCAGCAGCCTGTCCCCTTGCTCTGCCATCCTGTGGTCCAACTCTTCCCACTTGTGACTCAGGCCCTGGAGTCTGTCCTGTATGTCCTCCTGTGCATATGGGTAGCCATGCAACAGCTCTCTCCCAGCCTGGAGTGGAGACAAAGGCCCGGGCTATTTTGCTGAGCTGCCAGGACCACCACCAACCACAGCATGCTGCACCCAGGGGCAAAAGGCAGGTTGCTGGCTACAACTGTCTTCTTCCAGCTCCCTGGAATGGTGGCGGCTTTCCGAGCTGATTTGGGTGCCTATCTAGGGGGACACCCAGCTAAGTGAAAGAGGCAGAGGGGTCCCTTCTTCCAGTGACTGTGCTCTATAGAAGTAGGCAGAGCAGTGTGCTGTGAATCTGAAGACAAGAGGGCTCTGCACTTCTTTCAAGCATCCTCACCTGCTGTAGGTCCTGCATGTACCCGCGGGTAGCTAATAGCTCGCGCTTGGTCATTTCGTGCCACTTGGGTTTCTTCAGGATGTTGCTGCATGCTTGGGAGGGTTCACCGGCCACCGTGGCCCACTTCCCCTGCATCCACAGCATTAACTCCGCCACAGCCTGCTTCCATTCCTGCCCGAGAACCAGGAGATGGTGGGTCTCAGGGTCCAGGGGGAGGGATGGTACACCTACCTCTAGAGAGCAGGGCACCTTGGGGGAAAAACAGGACCCTGAGCCAATTCTTGGGTACAGGGGAGGTAGAGCTTGGATTTTGCTGATCCCCAAATGGGGCAAGGACACTGTGCCCAGAAAGAGAAATGCCTATCAGGTCCCACCCCACAGATGACACCAGATCTCATGTGGTTCTTGATCTAAATGGTTTGAGGTTTTTTTGGAGGCCTGGCCTGGCCCTAGGGCCTGAACGAGCATCAAAGCTGGTCTGTAGCTACTTCCCTTCACCCAGGCAAACCCTGGCGAGTCAGAAGTGAGGGCGGGTATGTAGTAGGGTGAGAGGGGCAGGTAGTCAAGGGTCCTTTGAGAAGCATGGTGAAGCACAGCTCCAGCGTCCTCTTGGAAACACCCAAGGGTTGGGAAAGTGCCCAGTAGACAGGATCCTCCTGCCTCAGTGCAGCTGTGGGCTTGTCTCCTGCAGCCTAGGGACTCACTTGCAATTGGAGGGAGGCCAGCAGCTGCTCCCTTCTCTGCTCACTCCTCTCCTGGACCCTGGTCCACTGTGTCTGGACACTGTGCAGCAGCTCTCTGATCCTGGAGAAGAGGGGGAGGAGAAGGCTCTTCCCTGCCTGAGCCCCCAGCCCCCCAGCCCAAGGGAACCCCGCCCCACCCAGCCGCGGGGCAGCAGTCCGTCCAGGTGCAGAGAGACTGCAGCAGGCAGATGGCTCACTTGTGCTCAGCCGGGTGCCGGCTCAGAAGCAGCTTTTCACCACACGCCCGCAGGGCCTCAGCCCGAGATCCCAGGGTGCTCCGGAGCCACCCAAAACCTTGGTGCTGCTGCAGCAGGCTCTGGGCCTCCCTTAGGTCCTCCTGGTGCAGAGACCTGAGGTCAGCTCATCCTCCGGGCCTTCCTGCCCACCCTGGCTTCTAGACCCAAGGAGGCCAGCTCCCTCCAGGGGCAGCAGGATGACAGTTCTACTTCCCCAGCTCCTTACCCCCAGATTGTCCTGGTGCAGGAAGGCCTCATGGCCGGCACAGGTGTCGATGAAACTATCCACTTCCTGGCCAAACCTCTGCAGCTCCAGCCTGTCCCGAAGCTTCTGCTGCCTCTGCTCCCACACAGCCTTCAGCTGCTGGCCCTGCCGGCCTAGGAGCCTTAGGGCACTGGCCACCTCTTGGGACTGTGGGGGGTCTGAGGCTGCCACCAGCTGGCCCCAAGCCTCCAGCTGCTGCAGCCTGTGTAAAACAAGAGACATAGCCCCAGAACACAGCTGACGCTCCTCACTAGCTCCTCCGGCCCTTCATCACAGAGCTCTGCAGTGAGGGGGACGGGCCGGTCAGTCCTATTGGTTCACTTTTTCACTGGACAGCTGTGTCCTGGCCTGTGAATAAGATGGAATGCAGGGCCCGGTGGATTGCCCAGGACCCACATCACACTGTCCTCTTTGTAGATGGCTAGTGGCATGCTGGGGCGATACAACTCGACAAAAATCTCTCAATCCACACATGCCTGCTGGCAGGGCCTCTGGCACCTTTGACCCAGCGGAACAGGTGCCCCTTTGGGCTGGATGCTGCCCCCGCATTTTGGAGACAGGTGGCTGGGGTGTGGGAGGCAGGAAAAGCCAGCGTTTCCTCTGCGCTGCAACCCGAAAGTGTGTGTGTGTGTGTGTGTGTGTGTGTGTGTGTGTGTGTGTGTGTGTGTGTGTGTGACAAGGGGAAGGCAGGTGTCCGTCTCTCAGGGCCCACTTGATACCTGTCAGGCTCCCTGGAGCAGGGGGCAGCCTGAGGATTGTACATGGTGGCTCCGTTTGCTCATACGGCTGCACATCACTTCTGAAGGAAGTGAGGAAGTAGAAATCTTAGTCCCATTGGTGGGTACTGGGCCCTTTGACTGTCGAGACCAGCAGGGTATGCACTGCTCAGAATGGGAAGCTAGATGGGGGGGGGGCACCATCGTCACACCTGAAGGAGAGTGTCTGGGGGCCCTTCCCAAAGTGTGCAGGCTGCCTGACGTAGGCCAGGGTATCTCCTGAAAACCTGCCTGCAATGCCATGCTAGATACCAGCCCAGCTCGTGACTCTGGAGATCACATTGCTTTCGACCTTCCTTTTATGAACTCGCCCCCGCCCCGCCCCCCAGGCCTGTCCTGACCTCTCTTGCCACAGGCAGGTCTCCTCCTGTAGACCTCCATGCTTCCTCAGCAGCTCCCGGGCTGAGGCCACATCCTCCAGCTCCCCTTGGCTGCACAGTTGAGCCCGGATGGCCTCCGCCCACAGGAGCAACGTCTGGCTCTCTTGGAGGATGCCTCGCTGGCCCCGAGCCTCAGTCTGGACCTGGACCTGCCGGGCCACTCGCTCTTGTACTTGTGTTAGCAGACCCTGCAGCATCAGCACCGGCTCCTGAAGCAGCTGGCCCTCCAGGGGACCTGACTCCATCACCCTGCAGGAGGTTAACCACTACAGTCAGTATCCCGGGCCTGTGTCTCCTGGGAAAGGGGCGACAATTCTGAATGTCCACCCCTAACTAGAAGCAGCATGATCGGGGGCTCTCTCCCTTTCTCTGAGAGTTGGGAGCCACACCCAATCCAAAGCTTTCTCGGGTCCTGAAGGAAGGACAAGGAGAATGCTAATTCTGTGTCCTTGCCTAGGGGTAGACCTTGCAAGGTCCAGTCTAGGGGGGGGGGGCTGGGTCTTGAAGGAGTTAAGTTCCTGAGAACCTGGCATTCCCCTCTGAAACACCATGGTTATCAGTCCTAAAGCAGTTGGGTTGGGTATCCTGGGTTCTCTTGTCACCATGGTCTGATTTAGTTTTCCACAAACCCTGGCCATTCTCTGCCTGAAAACAGTATACAAGATGTTGCTTTTTGTTTGTTTGTTTGTTTGTTTTTTGTTTTTTGAGACAGGGTTTCTCTGTGTAGCTTTGCGCCTTTCCTGGAACTCCCTTTGTAGACCAGGCTGGCCTCGAACTCACAGGGATCCGCCTGCCTCTGCCTCCCGAGTGCTGGGATTAAAGGTGTGCACCACCACCACCACCACCACCACCACCACCACCACCGCCCGGCGATGTTGCACTTCTTAATAAATTTGCTTGGCATAGGTAGTTTGTGCAGGACCTCCCAACCCCAGCTCTTTCGTCTGTATGTTCTCACCTCCTCGCCCTCTCCCTTGAGGCTTGCCACTGAAGAATGACCCGTTGTTCTGGTCATGAGCGCAGTCTCTGGCCTATGCCAACCCTCTTCCAACAGCCCGTCTTGGCCATCTTCTCCCCATCCCAGTTCCTGCCCCTTCCTCACGTTACGAGGGCTTCCTGCTGCCCTCACTGCCTCCCCGGCCACCATCGCCATCCTAAAGCTGGCCGTACTCTATGGATGCTCTTTGGAGGTAGGAGATCCTCTTCTCCAGTCCCAGGACCTTCTGCTGAATCTGTTGCAGGGTACGATGGCTGTCTTCAGAGCCTCCTGGCCCCAAAGCCTCCAGCCTGCCCATCACATTTAGCAGCTGGGCTCGTGTGGGTTCAGCCTCCTGTAGAAGATGGCGCACCTCCGCGCTGTGCGTCAGCTGCAGGCCTTTCTCTTCCTTCAGGGCCTCCAGCTGCTGCCACCTGAGCAGAGGATACAGGGATGCATCCATCACAAGGACACCTCCCATCCATCCAAGGACACCTACCCAGCTGAGGCCTTAGGCAGCGCCCAGCAGGACAGAGGCTTCTAGGCTGGTGGTCCTCTGCCCGCTCCTCACTGTCTCTGACACCATCCAGCCTCTCCACCTGGTAGGGTCGGAGGCACCAAGCAAGGGCCCTGCCCTACCTGCACCCCCATCCTCACTGTCACCTCTGGTTCAGGTCTTCCTCCTGTTGCTGGATTTTCGAGGCGTGCCCTGGACATCTCTGTTTCAGCTGTTCAGCAGTGCAGATGACCTCAGTCCAGTGGCCTTTTCCGACGGCCAAGGTCATGAGAAAGTTCTGAGGAGAAAGAGGACCCAGACCCCTGGGAGGCAGGCTCTGCACACTCCATCCTCCTTTTGGACCACAAAGGGCCTTGGGATGCTTGGCTCTAAGACACTCATCCCGCTCGCCTTGAGACGGGAAGCATCTGAGTCCCGAGCTCTCAGAGTCGGGCCTGCTGCCTTGGGACCCTCCCCAGACAGGACCAAATGTGGAGAATGGGGCAAAACACTGAGTAATAGGGAGGCGGAAGCAGTGCCAGGCTGGTGGAAACTCCGGTCTCCATTAGCTCAGCGGCTTACCTCACATTTGAGCTGTGTGACCTCTAAGTTGTCACCCTGGGGCTGCAATGTTTGGAACAGGGCTGTCTGCTCCTCCAGCCAGGACTGGAGCTCCCTACAGGAGCTGTAGAAGCTAAACAGGGCTACTGTCTCCTCCAGTCGGGCCCTGTGAAGCTGAAGAGGCAGCCCAGGGTCAGGATGAAAGGTCAGCATCCCCTCAGGAGGGAGGGCACTCAGAGAGGTCCTGGGGGTCCCCTGCCTATCCCAAGCCACCAGGAGGAGCAAGGCTTTGCTCCACAACCATACCACATCCATTTAAAGGTTTGTTGACATCTTGGGCATAATGTAAGCTCCTTTAGAGCAGGGAACAGGTCAGCCACTGCTTTGTTCCTGGGATCATGGACAGGCTCTGCCTTACTGGTTCTCAACCTTCCTAATACTGCGGCCCTTTACTACAGTTCCTCATGTTGTGGAGACCCCAACTATAAGATTATTTTCATTGCTACTTCATAACCATAATTTTGCTACTGTTATGAATCATAATGTAAATGTCTCATAGGCAGGATATCTGATATGTGACCCCTGTAAAAGGGTCATATGACATCAAAGGGGTCATGACCCACAGGTTGAGAACACTGCTCTAGCTTATGGTAGAGGCATGATTAACCTCCCATCCCTTCCTCTCTCTTTTGGTAGAGGGACTGAACCCTAGGACCTCAAGTCTGCCAGGCAAGCATAATTTCACTTTTTTGAGTTTTTCATCTTGTTGTGTTTCCCAGGCTGGCCATGGACACCTGGACTTACACAATCTTCCTACCTTGGAAGCAACTGTGAATAAAGACATATGCCACATGCTTAGCTATGGACATTTCTTGAACAAAGAGCATTACCTTTGCCAGGGCCTGTAGGTTCTCATAGTTCTGGCTCAAGTGAGCCTGTGCCTGGAGTATGGTGCTCGAGTCTACATCAAAGTCATATTCATTCTGGAGAGTCATCCTTGGGCCTTCCCCCAGAAGGCTCAGGGCAGACTCCACCTGTGCAGAAGGAAAGCAGTGTGTCCACACCCAGCTCCTACCAAGTAGCAGATCTCCACCAAGATGGGGCCTGTGGTCATACCTGGGGGTTCTGCTCTATGCTGCAGATGACGGGTGCCCTGCTCTGGCTGTTCCCCAAGTCTTTAGGCTCCCAAGTATTCAGGGCCCCTTCTGGAAGCCAAGAGACACACACTGTTATGAGAGGACAAGATTCAAGGGCTGCTTGGGGCCCTCCTCTTCCCTACTCAGGCTCACTACAAGGTAGCCCAAGGTGGTTCGGTACCCACTGCTTCCCTGTGCCCGGTCCTGTGTGAAGAGCTTGTAGAGGCTAAAAGGACTGAGACTGGACCTTCCCATTGGGGCTCACGAGTCTCTCAGGACTGCAAAGCTCGCAGACCCAGAACAGGTAGGACACTATCCAGGGATATACTTAGGGAGGCAAGGTATGTTGTCGTGTGAAAGAAGTACCATAGGTGTCCAGGGGGAAGAAAGGCCAGATGGTCTGGGTGTTTAAAGAGGGCAAGACAAGGCCCACTGGAGTGTGCCCAAGAAGGAGCATTTGCAAAGCACTGTGGTGGCCAGCAGCTAGGCAGAGAGGAAGCACGGGCTAGCACCCCTCCCTGTGAGTGGATGAGCACCCATCTCTATCTCTCTGTTCTTTGTTCCTGGGCAAGTGTGGATAGCGGCAGCAGCAGCAAGCAGACTACTCAGAAATGGGTTATGGATACTGTAAAAGAATAGGTACAGAAAAAGGAAGAAACCAAAATAAATAAATAAATAAATAAAATAAAAAAAAAAATCAGAGGAGGACCCAGAGAATTTCAAGCTCCACAGAGCAGACGTGACCATCTCATCTAAGCTTTGCTGGTGTGAGAGCCGCCTTCCTGTGGCTGTCTGGAAGCAGGAACGTGCTGCTCTGGCAACAAAGCGTGTTTCTGGATAGCTCCAGTTACTTCTCTCTGCAGAGCTCCAAACGGCCTCCCCTGAACTCCTTCCATTTGGTTTTGGGATGCCCCAGACACAGCCACAGGGAAGATGCTTGCCCTCATTACTGACAGACTTCAGGCTCACACAAAGGTACAAAGGACCTTGTACCTCGGGAGGAGAGGGGCGTCTGCTGGTGTGAATGCTGGCTGCCTGTTGCTGCTAAGACTCGGGTCCCACCCCGAGGTTCTCCAACTGCGTCCCTGTCAAGCTTCCTCCAGTCTTCTGGGGGGTCCTCCTGTAGAGAGGGTCAAAGGCTCTGCTTAGGCGACCAAGTGGCTCCCCACCACGCAGAAGGGCAGACTCTAAACCTCTCCTGCCATGGTGAGAAAAGCAAAGCCAGAACGCTGGGCCTGGGATCTCTGTCTCTGCCTGCACCAGATGGGGACAGAGAACACACAAAAGGGATGAGATAGCTCCCATCATTTAATAAGTAACACACTGGAAAGGCAGGATTCACAGAGCAGGGAGGAACCGCTATCCCCTGTACCAAAAGCATTGTGTTGGTGTAATGTAAGTACCAGGAGTGAAGCTTCCCAGGTGCAGGGGTGGGGAGGGTGTGCATGTTTAGAAACAGCCTTGGATGAAGGATCAAAAGGCCTCCTTGCCAGGGATCACCGGGTCCTCAGGGAGTCGCCTGCCCCACCTCACCTTGATTAATATTTGTAAAGAGTGGTGGTGGTGGTCTAGAAGCTTGCTAACACAGAGATCTGTCTTTAAAATTATTAATCATGCCATCTGGGAGTAAACACAAAGGATTAAGGAGAGATGGGTCAGTGAGGTCTGGGAGTGTGAGGCACTCTGTGCAGGCTGGGCCAAGGTCTTTCCTGCATCCATCTACCAGTTTTATGGCCAGGTTAGGTGAAGCAATCTGGAAGCCCTAAATGCAGCTTAAAGAGTGCATGGGGCAGGGCTGGGCAGAGAAAGGGGGAGGGATGTGGGGTATCTTTAGGGTTGTCAAATCAGAGAACCAGAAGGGACTTCAGGGTGAAGGGTCGTGAGAATAAGGCTTTTGGGGGAGAACTTTCTTGAACTGTGCTGGGCAGACTGAGCCAAGCCCAGCTATCCTTGATGCCTTTGACTGGTGTACACAGACAGAATTCCAAATCACCGGAGACTGGAGATGGGAGCAGGGGTGGGGTCGAGTGGGGGGTGGAGAGCACGACCAGTTCTGGGCAGGACCTCAAAGACCCTCACTGAGGGAGGAGCGTGGGCCTCACATTTAGTGTAGGAGTCATGAGTCTGAGTCCTTTCCAGGTTCGGGAACGCACCTTGAGTGAGACCAGGGCTGCAGCAGCCCGCGCCTGATCCTCTAGCTCGCGCAGCTCCGCCCCGAAGGCGCGCACGTCTCGCTCCAGGAGCAGGTGGCGCTGCAGCAGGGCCTCGGCCTCTGCCTGGTCCTTCCCGCAGGATGCGCTTTCCAGTTGCTTCTGCCGTAGGAGAAGCCAAGAAGCTGCCTCGGCTGAGTCAGAAAAGTACTGTGGGGAGGTGGGGAAGGGTTGAGAGAGAGCAGGTGCCCGCGCGCCCCGCCCCACGCACCCCGCCCCGCCCCGCCCCACACGTTCTACCTGTCCAACCAACAGTGCACTTTGTAGCCGGGCGCGCCTCCTTGTGGCTTCAGTCCAGAGCAACTGCCAAGTTCCCTGCACAGCTTCTGCCCTTTCCAGAGGATCTGGCTGTGTCGGGGGCCCTCTGACACTGAGGCTGCGTGCCCTCTGCATGAGATCTGCACACACAGACTGGTGGCGATGGAGTTCGGCTTCCAGAACCTAGCAGGGTTAGGGGTGTGGGTTGTGAAGGGAGAGAGAGGGTGACGCCCGGAGTTCCAAGCCTGACAAGCAAGGAGGTCGGGATGTCACAGAGCGGACACCTTGTGTTTCTGCAGAGCGGTAGAGATCTGAGTGAGGTCCCGGCCCAGGGCTGCCTTCTCCATTATCTGTCTGTGCTCCCTCAACCAGGCCTCCTCCTCCTCACAACTGTGCAGGAACTGTGCCAGCTGCAGAGTCTGCTCCAGTCGGCCGCGTCTGAGGGTCAGAAGGGCCATGGAAGGGTTTGGGGAAGAGCAGAATACGGGGAGGGGTCTGCCCACCTGCATCAGATACGCCCCTTAGGCAGGATTTCCCCCAGAATGGCTTAACAAGTTAAGACGGATGCTTGGGGGCTCAGGAGCAGTCTAGAGGAGGTTGCCAGACCAGGATTTCTGCTTGGGCAGGAGATATTAAAGTTTCAAGGAAAGTTCTACAGACGGGTGAGGAGTTGGGGCTGCCTCTTACCGGGCTCTGACAAGAGACACGAGGCTCTGGTGAAGCTCGGCCAGTGCCTGGGCTTTAGTCTGAAGTATCTGCACACTGGTGCCCTGGGAGGGGTCCAGCTGTGCCGTCTGGTGGGCAAGACGGTTCACTTGGGTCCTGTGGGCTGAGACCTGGGCCTCCAGCAGGTCATGCCTCTGCAGCAGTAACACTACTTCTGCTGGCTGTTGCCCACAGGCTGTGGAGCTGGCCAGCACCTGGCCAGAGATGAGGGGTCAGTGCACATCTAGACACCCAACCTGTGAGCAGCACCAGTGTGGGGGGAGGGGGAGGGACTCCCAGAGTTTGGCTGATCTGCCCACCTGCAGCTCCCCCAGCTGGTCAGTGGCAGCCTCCACCTCCTCCAGTAGGCTCAGCACAGCCCGTGAGCCCGCGATCTGTTTCCTGTGCTCCTGTAGACACTGCAGGATCGTCTGCCAGCGCCGGGCAATCTCCTTCTGCCTAGATAACAGGAGGAAAGGGTGAGCTCCAGCAGGCTGGGACAAGGGAGCTTGGCTGGCCTGGAACAGTGGCACCTGGGGAGCCAGGGTAGGGTATGGGTGTGAACAGCTTGTCACAGATGGGTGGGAGAGTGTTCACAGCCAGAGGGAGCCCAGGAGGTCCAGATGTGCAGACCCTCACCTCCCTCACGTCTAGCCCCCATCTCTATGGATGAAAACTGTCTTTCCGGGCACACGGACTGAAACTATGACAGCTCTGTGTCTTAACCCTGGCTCTGTCTGCAAATCCTGTTTGGCACTGTCTTCCAATACATCCGTCGATCTGGGCTATCACACTTGTAATCCCGGGACACAGGAGGAGAGGTCCAATTGCCACAGTTTTATGAGGCCAGCATTGTGAGTTCTGCCTCTGTGAGACCCGGCCTCAAGAGCAAACTAGAAAGCCGTCTTCAGAATGCCATCACTTTTCATCAGCCCGCTGCCTTCCACCCAGGACTCTACACCAGCTTCATAATGGGCTCTTTGCTTCAACCCTTACCCCTTCAACCTGCCCTAGCACAGACTGCAGGCCAGGGGGTCACAGGCCAACACTTAGAGTGTGGTGCTTCTCTGCTCAGGTCTCAGGAAAAGAAAAAAAATCAACCAAAATGCTTTTGCTTTACTAGTTAAGGCCCAGCTTAACCTCCCTTCCTCTCCCTCATCTCCTGTGACTGGTCACTTGCCCCACCCCCACTTTTCAATCTTGACACGTGTGTAACTACCTTCGGGTGCTGTTCTTGCCATTCCCTCTGCTCAGGATAGTCTGCCCCCCCCCCCCATATATACACAACCAGCGTGCTCACTTCTCTCCGGTCTTTAATCAAAAGTCAACTCACATCCTCCTGCCTTGGCCTCTCATAGTCCCGTGGTTGCTTGCTTTCTCCCT